TCCATAAAAAAATAACACAAAGCCAGCGTTGGTGGTGCACGCCTTTAATCCAAGCACTCAGGAGGCAGAGGCAGATTGATCTCTGAGTTTGAGGCCAGCCTGACCTACAGAGATAGTTCCAGGACAGGCTCCAAAGCTACAGAGAAATCCTATCTTGAAAAACAAAACAAAATAACACAATAAACCACGAGTGGTGGTGTGCTCTAAACCCAACACATGAGTGACTAGCATGAGGACCACAGATTCAAGCCAGTATTGACAATTTAGCAAGACTATGCCTCAATATAAAACAAACTGGGTGTGCAGCCCAGCTTATTGACCAACACTTGTCCAGTATGTGTCCAATCCTAAGGGACTGCTCAGAGCCAATTGAGGAAAAATTATAAAATACTCTTTGGTATGCTTTTTGTTAAGCAGTTCTGAGGAATGTCCTGTGTGCAGGAATTGAGATAAGCCCTTTGTACCATAATGGTGAGGGAAACAGATGCACTTCTTGCCCTCAAGATGCCCAGGAAGAATGGCAATAGCAGACATTATTAATGTCTGATATTTGAGTTTTACAAAGTTAGGGTTTTATTAAACCTGCCATAAAAGCTACTACCTTAGATTAGATACAAACATCATCTTATTTTATATATGCAGTTGATAGAATTTAATTAACTTCCTCAAGATTATACAGTTATTAAATGGCAGAGCTGGTATTAAAACCCAGATAGTCTACCTCCAGAGCCCAGCCCTTGTTTAACTACCTGGTGGGTGGTAAATAAAATATAATAGTCTTTATGAAGATTGGGGGCTGCCAGATCTCAGTGAAGCATCTGTCCCTGTCACCCACTGGCCAGCTAGTGGAGTCAGATGGGTAGATCATTCATCCCTTGCTCTGGAGCCACTACAGAATAGCCTGGGTGAGTGGTCAAAACAGACAGACAGCTGTCCCGTTTGCCTGGCTGAGCTGAACTTGTATGTGCAGCCACTCCTGCTGACCCTCCCTGCTCCCCACAGGTTCATTCCAAGGAGAGGACAGTTACAATGGCTGCATGAGGCAGGCAGGACACTCAGAGTGGAGGTTGAAGAAGCCACATCATGTAGGAGCCATGGCCATTTCCCCACTTTCAAACCAGTTTAGAGAACCGAGTTTAAAGAGTAGTAAGGACTCCCACACACTGAAAAGGGAAGGTTGTCTTCCTGGGGTTTATGGAAACATGGGGAACATAAAGACTGAGTGTCTCCCTTAGGCGAAGTAGGTGCATCTCTAGGGAGCTGTCTAAACCAGTACTTGAAGAATAAAGGTTTAGCTGTGGGGTGAATTAGGGGTAGGGCGAAGGAACTATAGTAGCAGCCTGTCCGAATAGTTTAAGGACCTGAAAGAAGCCAGCACACCCAGGGTAGGCGTGGGGGAAGGTCATGGTCCTAATGGGATGAGCAGTAGGACCAGGCCATCTCATCAGAACTTGAGGCCATACTTAGGAAATTTGCATCTTATTCTCTACATCAAGGAGACGCTTTGAGTTTAAAATAGTCATGGATACTCTGGTTTCTCTTCAGATCGTATAAATTTTTTACCCTTTAAATTAGTATGGATGATGATGATGATTATTATTATTATTTTAGTTTTTTTTTTTTAATCCCAAGACAGGGTTTTTCTATGTAACAGCCCTGGTTGTCCTGGAACTCACTCTGTAGACCAGGCTGGTCTTGAACTCACAGAGGTCCACTGCCTCCCCAGCTCCCCAGTGCTGGGATTAAAGGCATGTGCCACCACAACCCAGCCCTATTTATTATTTTGAAATTGTGTGTGTGTGTGTGTGTGTGTGTGTGTGTGTGTGTAAGTGCAAGAGAGAGAGAACAAGTGTTGGAGGACAGAGGACAACATGCAAGATTGAATTCAGTCATCAGGCTGGGTGATAAGCACCTTTTTCTGCCGAAGAAGGGTGACATTCAAATGTCTGGCTGGAGCAACAGGGTGGTATAACAGTGGCAGGAGAACAGTTGTCAACGTTCTCAGTGCTCATGCGTCTTTCTCCGGAGCTGCCCGCTGTGTAGCTTCCTGGGGAAAAGGTTTCAGGAAGAGATGGGGCTTTGTGTGTGTGTCGGGGGTCTTACATTTATAGATGGCATTTCACTTGAAATCATGGTCTGTGAGGTTAATTTTCTCATCTCTGACCACAGCTCTAACAGGAGTAGTTTAAAGGAGCAAAGGTTACTTTGACAGGGTTCAGTCTGTGGTTGCCTGGACCCATAAACTTGAGCAGATCATCATGGGGACAGAAAAGAGAAGACGAACAACCTCCTTCCAGCTCCTAAGTACAAACATAAGAAATGTTATAATTGGGGTGTGTGTGTGTGTGAGGTCAGAGGACATTTTTGAGTTGGTTTTCTTCTACCATTTGAGTTCCACGAATCAAATGTAGAGTGTCAGACTCAACGCTTACCCACTGAGCTGTCTGGTTGGACCCTCCCACCTCCTAAATTTTTTAAGACTCTCTTAAGCTAGAGATGTAGTGAGTTTAAGGCAAACCTGGACTATGGGAGACTTTGCCTAACAACAGAGGGAACAGTGGTGTCACCAACTGGGAATCAAGTCTTTAACACATGTGCCTGTGGAGGACATTCCATGTAGAACATGGGTATAGAGGAAGGGCATCAGTAGGAGAATGGAGATGTCCAGGCCATCCCCCAAAGAACTCCATTGTCAGGAGCTTAAGTAGAAGTACACAAAATGCAGAGAAGCTTTCTAAGCCTGTAGGAGTGTTGATATGGATGTCTGTGGGGATCAGTAAGAGGAAGGGGAAGTGGTAACCATGCCAGAAGCTAATCCAGAAAAGTGGTCATTGGGCTTGGTTACAGGGCCTCTGGTCCCAGAGTACACTTTGAACAGCAGAGGTGTAGGTCATTGGCTTCTCTTCAATTTCTGATTTTCAGCTCTAGGATGGTGTTCAGGCGTTTTCTTAAATCCTCAGGTGAAGCTAACACGAATGGTTACCATATCTTGAAATTTGGAGACCCATAAGCTTTGGAGAACTTTTTAACTATCTGTGGTGGGGAGTCATCAAAGGAAGTTCATGAAGATGGAAAATTTCTAGAGTATATTCTGAAATGAGTGACCCAGAAGAGAGATGGTTGTATAACTCAGTGGTGGAGTGCTTGCCTTCCATCCACATCCCTGGATTCAATTCCCAGTCTGCCTCTATCTGTCTTTCTGTCCATCCCATCTCACCCACCCACCCACATACACACACATGCATGTACGTGTGCATGTACTGGCACATAGTATGATCCAGTATTACAAGGGAAGAAGGGAGATACAGAGGAATGTCGCTGAGAAGATGTGGGGAGGCTTTAAAACACTCAGTCTGGGGTTCTGATCAGAGCAAGAGAGGCTGTGGAGAGGGCATTCATTGGCCAAGGCCGGCTGGGGCACAGGTGTGGATGAGGAAATGGAACTCCCTTTGGTAGCTTATATTCTCTCAAGGAAAGGAGTGTGGGGGTGGAAGATGGAGAAGCAAAAATGCGAAGTGATTATTTGAGTAGAAAATGACCTTAAGAAAAAAAGTGGCCCTGTTTTTACAGCATATTTGAAATTGTGTTCTAAATTTTTCAACTAGTCTGATTATACTTTTTTTTTTTTTCTTCAACCACAGTTACTTGGATTTAGACATGGGTAATTAAGTGGTTGGGGTCACCTGAGGTTAGACTTTACCAAGGGAAGGGAGTGATTATCACCATTGAGCAATTAGGGGACTGGAGACTGGAGAGACAGTGATGATTAGGTTAGCAGCTCCGCAGCAGTCAAGGTGGAGTGAACTAAAGCAAACTGAAAAGTAGGAGGGGCTGTGGGGTGGGGAGGGTGCTAGAGCAGGAGGGGTGGGGTTTCCTGAGAGGTCAGGAAACAGGACATTGCATTTGCCCTCTCTTGGATGTTGTAGTTGCCAAGAATGTTGACAGAAGTTTGGAGTAGAGGGATTCTGTCTGATAGGACAGACTTTTGGTGGGTGATGGAAAAGTCTAGTCAACAGATAACAGCAGCAGAGCTGAGGGTTTCAGAACAGCAAGCATGGCCTTTTGGAAAGCAAATGGGAAGCAGTCTCTTGAATTTGTGCAAAGACACCTGGGCTATAGGGACTGGCCTATGCAGAGAGAGCGCCCTCTGATGGTGGAACTGTAAGAGAGGTGTCTAGTTAGCTTACTGCCACAGAGAGGGGAACAAGGAAAGCTCAGAAAGGCTGGAAAATTCCAAAAGTGTTACACAAGTCAAATTGACAGTTAATGAATGAGGGTCCATGTAGGTTTGGGGTGAGAAGAGGTCTCCTGGAGTAAGGGCAGAAAGTTCTGCACACAACATCATAGCTAAGGGCAGTGGGGCACTGGTGACATGGTGCTATCCTCCTGTCTGGGTTTTATTCTGTGGTCACTGTGCCCATCACTATTATAAATGTTCATTCTCTTTGCCCAGGACTTCCCTCTGTACCTCAGTCTATGAAGTGCCCAACACTTTGGAAGATTTTGTTCTCTCGAAAACAGGGTGGTTTCTGAGGCCTTTCCTTTGACCATCATCTACTAGCAAGGTGACAGAGAGGCCTGGGCACAGAGTACAAACAGAGATTATCAGTGTGTTGTCTCCTTTGGACAGGCTTCATGAAGTTCATTATAACATAGCCATACCCATTTTGTAGGTTCTTATTCTCTGGCTGCTTTCAGGCAACAACTGCAAGCTGCATGTCAGGGACTTTACGTAGGATCTAGAGAGTCTATAATACTACTCTTTGCACTTTTCTGGAGAATGCTTGCCATTGCTGATGTAAACACAGAAGATACAGAGAGAAGCATCCAGAATAAATTGGAGCCCTCTCTAGGCAGTGGGTGATGAGTCATTGTAGTGTTTATCTTAGTTTCTCATTTTCTTTTCTTGTCTTGCCACACATTTAACGTGAAAACGCAATAGCCTTGAAAAGTACTAGAACAGTATTTTAATGGGTATCTTGGTTGCTCTCCCTCCTCAGTGCTGCCTTTGACACAAAGACGGGCCACCGTGTGGCAGTGAAGAAACTCTCGAGACCCTTCCAGTCCATCATTCATGCCAAAAGGACCTACAGGGAGCTGCGCCTGCTCAAGCACATGAAGCATGAGAACGTGAGTTACTCCTGTCCTCTCACGTTACTGCAGGTAGACTCGTCCTGCACCATCAGGGTTGTGATTGTGCTGCTTGAGTACTGCTGCTTTGGTTTCCTGGGGCTGTCAGGTCAAACCTGAGGACAGTGGTGGTGCCTCTTCCCAGATCTTATGCATTTAATTTTTATTTAAAATATGTATGTATGTATGTATGTATATATGTATGTATGGTTATATGTAGTTTCTGTTATGTGTGTTTGCCTGCTTTAGTTTGTGTCATGGGGTGCATATGTGTGTCTTGGGTTGCAGTGCCCTTGGAGGCCAGAAGATGCCAGATCCCTTGGGACTGGAGTTACAGGTGCTTGAGAGCTACCATGTGGGTGTTGAGAACCAAACCTGGATGTTCTACAAGAGTAGCCAGTGCTCTTAATGGTTGAGCCCTCTCTCTACTGATGCCTTTCTTTGTCTCCTTATTTTGTGGTATGTGTTTGTTTATGTGCACATACGTGTGTGATGTCAAAGGACAGCTTGTGGGAATTGGCCCACAATTGTTTGTAAATCTAGTTCCAGGTGATCTGATACCCACTTCTGGCCTCATGTGGTTCACAGATATAACATGCAGGCAAAACACCCATACACACAAAATGATTAAAAAAATAAGAAAGACGGAGTTTTATTTTTTGTAAGTTTTTAATTTATGTGTACATATTTGTATACATGTGGAGGTATATGCACATGTATGCAGTGCCTTAGGGTAGAAGAGGACATCAGATCCCCTGGATCTGAGTCTTAGATCCTGGAGTCACCTGATTTGGTTGTTGAGAACAGAACTCTGTCCCCTGGAAGGATGGCTGAGCCACCTGCAACCCCAGAAAATGGGTTTAGTTTAGTGTGCTAGTGCTTAACAGCACTTTGTCTTTGTATTTCAGAGTGATCAGGTTCTAGTAGCAAAGGCCCCATGCTCAGATATTGGCAGTTCGTGTCTTAAAGGTTTGCGTGCTTACTTGCTTGCTTGCTTGTTTGTGTAACCTGGATCCCACTACGTAGCCCTGGTTGGACTGGAGCCACCAAGCCGTTCCAGCTCCCATTGCTTTCTTTTTGTTTTGTTTTTTGAACAAAGCAGGCACATAGTTGAATGTCTCAGTTTTCTTTGATGTGAAGGGAAAATGGGAAAAGACCAGAAGACTTATTACGCTTAATGTAGAAATTGTCTCACCTTTCAGACTATCCTGTAAACATTATTAGGCACTTAAACTGTAAAAGCAGTTTTATGCAGTAAAGAACCAAGACTTGGACCTGGAGAGATGTCTCAGTGGCTACGAGCCCTTCTCTTGTAGAAGTTCCCAGTGACTACACTGGCTGAATCACAACTGCCTGTAATTCTAGTTTCAGGGGATCCAGTGCTTCCTCTAGCCTCTGAGGGTACATGCATGCACACCCATACACCCACACATGCTCACATACTCTAAATATTTAAAAAATAAAACTTCCAGCAAGTTTGACTACCCTCCAAAGAAAGTAGCAACAGCCATAACCAGGCTTTTAGAGACTATAACAAATATTCAGTATGTGTGTATATGTATATATGTATATATATATATGTATGTATATATAAATATAATGGTAGCAAGTGACGGTGAGACAGTCTCTGTATGTGTGGGAAAGCAGAGCTAGAGGATGTCTTCTGTGACTCTAAGCAGAGTCAGCTGTCATGGTCTTGATTGAACTTGCAGCCCTGCTCTTGTACACCTACTGCAAGGACCAGTTATTGAGAGACAGCCTTCCAGCTGCATCTTTAGCTATCTGCACAATTATGAGAGAGCTTGCTCACTTGTCTGCAGGGACTACACATCTTGAATTTAAAAACAAACCCTCAAAGATTGTCTCAAGAGCCCAGGTCTGACCTTACTGTAAAGAGCATGAGGTTGTTCATGTGGGCGCCAAGTTTAGTAAAAATGTGTTATTTCAGACTGGCAACTTTTGGGTCATTGTAGGCTAATTAGAGATCTTTGCTGTAAAGGCCCTTTCTAAGAAATTGACTTCTAGTTTCTTTTACTGCTTACTGGCTTGCTCAACCTGCTTTCTGATAGAACCTAGGACCACTATCCTAGGGTGGCACCATCCACATCACTTGGCAATCAAGAAAATGTGCCCACAGGCCAATCTGATGGGGACACTTCCTCAGCCAAAATCCCCCTCTTACCAAAAATGACATAAAAAATAACCAATGTGAGTATTAAAACTTGGTGAGAGAGCATTGTGCTTTTCCCTGTTGTCTTTTCCAGACTCCTTGTTTCTTGTTTTTTTTTTTTTTTAATCATTGGAAGGATTTAATTTTGCTTTGTTTCAAAGACTGCTACTAAAAGTAGGTTATTCAGGAAGCTTGTTTGCATGAATTGCATTTTGTGATTCTGTTCTTGACAAAGGGTTTCACATAGCCCAGGCTTGCCTCAAACTCACAGTAGCCAAGGATGACCTTGCATTCCTGATCCTCTTGCCTTCGCTTCTAAAGGGCTAGACCTGCTGGTACTACTACCAGCTCTTTTTCATTTTTTAAACCATTTGATCTAAATACAAAAAACTACTGGGTTTGCCTGGCAGTGATGGCACACACCTGTAATCCCAGCATTGAGAGGTGGAGGCAGGGAGATCAGAAGTCCAAGCTAGCCTGGGCCACATGAGACACTGTCTCCACGCCCCTAACCCCCAAAAAGAAATGGTTTGGGTAGCAAGTCAGTGCTAAGCATATGGATGAACTGTACCTGGAATTAGTCCTTTTTACAGCCCAGACCTGATGGGCACTGCAGGAGACCATTGCTTTCCTGTCGTTTCATTTTTATGTGTTCTTGCAGGTCATCGGTCTGCTGGATGTGTTTACACCTGCAAGGTCCCTGGAGGAATTCAATGATGTGTGAGTGAATCTTTTGCATTTGCGACCCTCAGCTGGGAGGGTGGAGATGGACAGCCCACAGAAATGCTCAACAGTATTCAGACTTCAGGAGAGCCTTCTGTCACACTGGGCTCCTGGGGTGGGGGTGGGGGGGCACAGAAAGTAAATATTATGCTTGGTGCATTTTAGCACTTTTATCATTTCAGGCATAGTGTGGCCCGTTCAGAACCAGAGATGAGCCCTTGTGAAAGTTCCATAGAGGGGAAGTATAGGGAATTTTGACTATAATTTTTTCCCCCTAAAATGGTCCATCATAGGTGGGGGAGGTGGTACTTGGGCTACGTGTACTGGGGCAGACTATAGACCCTCCAGGTTGGAAAAGATTTCTTCCAGTCTGGTGCTTCCTGGAAACCAAGCCTGGGAGTCCCAGGAGCCAGAAGTAGGGAGTCGGGAAATAAAATAGAAGGAGGCAGAGGTAGTGCATTGATGTGTTAGTGGCCAATCACCACTGAAAACACCTGGGCCAGAAACTGCCAAGGTGTAGAGAACTAACATTACAGAATGCACCTCAGAGGGGGCCATTTTTTCTGATGCTCCTAAGGTTTGTTCATTCTTCATGAATGCCTTCACAGGCTTCCTGACGGTTGTGAGAGCAAGACAGAATCCAACAGGTGTCCTGTGCAAGACTAGGCTCTGCACAACAACAGCTTTCCTACTGCCTTTAACACCCTGCATTATTTCAACTTGATAGACTCTAGAATCGCTGCTGGCCTCTGGGAAGCCTGTGGGGATTATCTTGAGTGAATTAATAGATGTGGGAAGAGCCATCTAAATTGTGGCTGGGACTGTTCCCTAGGCAGGGCAGAGGGGACTACATAGGACAGGGAAGAGCAAGCTGAGAGTAGCATCTTAATGCTTCTCTGGTTAGTTGCTGATGCAGTGTGGTCAGGTGCCTGCAACTGTGAGCCAGAGTACAGCCTTCTCCCTTAAGTTGCCCTATCCTGCTTTAGAGATGACACACTGTGTTATAAGAGAAGAAACATCTTAAGCACAGTCACACATTTTTTTTTTTTTTTGTTGGGATTCTGGCATTCCTCAGTGGAAAGGATGTTTATTGTAATAAGCCAAACAGAATTGCAAGTCATTGCTGCTCTTCCTGAACTTCTGTGATAGTCAGATTGCTTTCTCTGTGACATCATGCCTGAAAAAAATTAGCTATGCAAAGAGAAAAAAGGTGATTTTACCTTGTGTTTTTAGAGATTCCAGGTCACAGTTATGTGGGTCCGTGGCTTTTAGGCTTCTGCTAGAGGTGCCAGGTAACAATGGCAGGGAATGTTAGTATAACAAAAACCACTCCTCCAGTGGCTATAAGGGGACCAGGATTCCAGTTTTCAAAGCTACTAATGACCTAAGCCCTGCCACCCAGAGATGTTGATGCTCCTAAGAGCACCCGTCTGGGGGGTTGGAAGGTCATTCTCCATCCAGATTATAGCACTTCATGCCCAATGCTCCCACTGCAAAACCATCTTTTCTCTACTCTTTCTTTGGGCAGGGTGTCAAGCCCATTTAATTATTTCCCATGTTAACTTTATAGAAAAGGGGAATAGTAAAGGGAGAAGTGAATGGCAAAGATGGAATGGGAGAGGAGGAAAGGCACTTTGGCCCATTTACAAGAACTCAGCCACATTAACCTGACCCTGCAAATGAGAGTTTAGGAAGCAAATAAAGAGAAAGACTGGCAGTAACTAAGAATGACAGGCTGTTCCCGCAGCCTTGTCTCAGCGCCAGAACAGAGGCTCTCCACATAGCTGAGTATAGACTATGTGGTTGGAAAAGAGACTTGTGGAATCTGAATGAGGGACAAATGCTACAGCAGTGTCTCTGAATTTTAACCTAAGGTTTTTGATGAGGATGGATAGACTTTAACAGGAAAAGAAAAAAAGATTTATGGGCTAGCAAGTATTGTGCTCTGTTTAATTGAGCATCCTAGAATGGAAAATGGACCTGTTTTTCCTACATTGAAAGGGGCCTTAATGATACCTGCTGTAAGTTTGAGGAGTTAAATTTTACTGACTGTAGTTTTATCCCCCATTGTGAAGCCCACCAACCCAGTGTATCCCCCTGTAAACTACAGTTGCATTGATGGATTCAGCAAATGCATGACTGTGGCAGAGGGACCTGTTTTCTTTTCACCCCCAGCTGGGTTCTAACGACTCTTGCTTTGGGTTTTTTGGTTTTTTTGGTTTGGTGTTTTGTTTTTGGTTGTTGTTGTTTTGTTTTGTGGGGTGTTTGTTTGTTTGTTTGTTTTTCTGATACAGTGTTTCTCTGTGTAATAGCACTGGCTGTTCTGAAACTTGCTTTGTGGACCAGACTGGCCTTGAACTCAGAGATCCACCTGCCTCTGCCTCCCTAGTGCCACCACTTGGCCTGTGGGGGTTTTTTGGTTTTGGTTTTTGTTTGTTTTTTAGATTTATTTTTTTATTATTTATGTGTGGGTAAGTGTCTGTGTGTGGTACCTGGTGTCTGTGTACGTCACATCTTGTGGCTGGAGTTGTCTGTGGTTGTGAGCCACAGTGTGCTGGGCAAGAGCAGCTAGTGTTCTTAACCCCTAATCCTTCCTCATCTAGCTCTTCTGTGAACTAGCTCTCAGGTGCTGCCTGGTGAACCTGCAAGACAGCTAGAGCATGCTCTCGCTGGAAACATTGGGACCTGAACTTTCAGTTAGAAAAGTGTTCGTTTACCTGCTGACTTTTTCTGGTGCTGATAGCTGTCAACAGTTAGCACCTATCTGTACTCTCCAGTCAGTGTAGAGCACACCCAAGAGAACACACTTCTACAGTACAGTTGCAGAGTGACTGTCCCGTGTTACACTGCTGCTGCGTATGCCAGAGCCTGTGTCCACTCAGAAAAGATGGGCAGTTTAACAACACAAGCTGGATACACAGCAGGCTCTGATTTTGATATACATCTCCCATGCTAATTAGCAAAAGCTGTAATCACCTTTCAGGTGTACAATTGACTTTTGTTTATGCTTTTCCTGTGTGATTCAGATTTTTGCTTCTTCTCTAAGACCATGTGTACCTTCAAGAAGAGAACAGTAGATTGTGTGCTTTGTTCATGACCCACAACCTGTAGGCACTGGGATGACTTGGGAAATGGGCACATCTAATTTTGACCACTGTATGACGGGGTTGGGCAGGTGGCACATTTTACAGACACCCAAATGGAGATCATTTGAGCACTTCTCCTAAGTATTCTCAGTTATTGTCTGTACTTCTTGCTGGTATAGGTTTCATTGGTGTGCATCCTGGCAATATTTACAATCTTTTTCGTTTCCTTGTTTTGCTCAGGTGGTCTCCCATCCAAGTACTAACCAGGCTTGGCCTTGTTTAGCTTCCAAGATTGGATGTTTTGCTTTTATGTGCTCCCTCTCCAGTTTACTCACGCCTACAGACACTCCATAATGTTCAACAATGGTTAATTTTAATTTTAGCAGATGTAGTTTCTCTCCTGAATCCACATTAATAGGGCCAGAACTGGATGAGTATAGCAATTGAAAACCAGTGTTCCTCATTAGTAGCTGCTGTCAGTTTCCTTCTGTTCTGGATTCTTGGCAAATACTTCTTTGTTCATAAATATGGCCTGCCAGGCAGTGGTGATACACATCTTTAAACCCAGCATTCTGATAGCAGAGGCAGGCAGATTTTGAGTTTGAGCAAATTCCAGAACATCCATATAGAGAAACCCTGTCTTGGAAAACCAAAACAAACAAAAACTAAAAAACTATGGCCTACTCAAGTGACTGAAGTAAAATGTGCAGACCATCTATTGTAATGAGATATCCTCCCTGCCCAAATCTGTTGCACTGACCATACCCATTGGGGTTGTTACCTGGAGGAGAGGGGGAGACTGGATCTGGGGTCCCGGACCCCAGCTTGCTCTCTTGCTTCCTGGTCAGAGACAGAGAGCATCTGAATGTGTCCTTGGGACGGGAACCTGTGGTGGTCATCTGTTTCTGGTGTTTAAGTGATTTCTCCCTGAATAAACATCCATCAGCCTATTGTTTCCCAGATTCTCATTTATCCCAGCAATAGTCTATGGTATTAACTGGGTTTTAGTAGTGTCTCAGCTTACAGAGAATTTGAACATAAATACTGTCATCTGACAACACTGTGAGGTGGATTTATCATCTCTGAATATCAAATGAGGAAACAGATTGAAACCTTTATATAAGCCTGAACAAAACTGCTTCCTTCTGTGTGCTCTGGCTCTCAGGTCCTGTTACATGTCTAAGGTCATAATTGACACTGCTGTGTTCTGTCCTGTGCCAGATGCCAAAACTAAAGACACTCTCTGTCCTGGGTTGCCTCCTCTGTGGCGTTTCACCTGCCTTCCTCTCATCTAAACTGAATGTCTTATGCTGCTGCATTCTTCAGGTCTAGCATCTGTGGCTACAGTGGCCACCCTCCTGCTGTCCTTCTGTACCTGTTGGTACCATGGCTGTCTGACACCATGCTTGGGGCTGTGTGTCTTTCCTATACCACAGACAGTATGGATATTTCGGAATAGTGATTCCAGGCTCGGTTATGCTGGTAGAGGACACCATCTGTGCTCCGTGTGAGAGTGGTGTGCAGTAAAGTAAGCTTGCTAAATTAACCATCTTGGCTACTGGATGGTTCTTCTGCCCCTTGTGATAGAACACTCTGGTCTAATTGTGTTCATGCACATAAGAACCTGAGCATGCATGTTTCCAATAAAATACTCCATCATCCTGTCTCACCAATACTACTCTGAGTCTTCTGGGCCATCCATGTTAGTGCCCTTGTGGGTGCTTTTAGGCACTACACAGAGCAAGGCATAACCCTCCTAACTTTGAACATGGTACACACCAGTGCTAAGGAACTTATAAAGAAGGAAATAGATAGTATGCAAGCAGACTGCAGCTTTAAAAAAAAAAAAAAGGAGAATTAGGAGTGGGATTAGCATGGCTTCAGATAGGGAAAAACCTTAAAGATGTGGAATTTGTGCAAAATATTGAAGTAGTAAAGGGCAGGCAAGATGGCTCAAGAGTAAAGGGGCTTGCTGCACAAGCCTGACCTGGTTTCAATCTCTGCCGTCCTTGTACAAGCAGAGAACAAGTTCCACGGAGTTGTTCTCTGCCCTATACACACAAGTAATAAATATGTTGTCGTTGTAAAGGAATTCAACCCATAGATACCTAGGGGAAGCCTATCCCAGGCAAAGCAACAGTCAGTGTAAAGATCCTGAGGCAGAAGGCTGCATGCTGTATTAGAGCTAGAGTGGGAAGCCCAGTCTGCAGGTCAGAGGTGACTGGGCCAGAGTACTTGTTTGGGGGGAATTCTCTGTCTTACTCTGAGGGAGAGAGGTTGTATGATTTACTTCTGTACTTTTGAAAAGAAGTACTCTGCCTGCTCCTGTGGTAAGGACTGGTGGTGGTTAGAGTGTCAGCTCCTGAAGCTGATTTAAGATAGGGAAGACATGTTCTACCTTTCTCTATCTAATTGCTTTTAATAGAGCCAGTGGTGGTGGAGGTTTTGTTTTGTTTTGAATCTTCATTGTGTTGTGCTTTCAAAAGGCTCAGATGGGGGAATCTTGACAACTGGTTACTACCCACGCAGGATTTAGTAAAGAAGACTCTGGGACAGGGTTCAGTCTAGAGTCCTGGGAACTGCCATCCCTGAGTCCCACTGATTGGTTTCACTGGGAGGTATGTGAGGAACTTAAGTTTAGAGGACACCACCTTCACAAGAGAAAAGCAAGATTGGAAATGTGAAGTCATCTTTTTGGCCTTCAGCTCATATAACAATCTCACCTAATCTTTTAGAGATGAGGTATTAGCTCTCCAACAGTGATAGTGCACTAAAGGCTTCCTGAACTCGTTTTAGGAACTGACTATATAGTCCAACGGTAAGCTCAGCATGTCTTCTCCAATGTCAGTAAGTGTATTTGCCAGAGTCAGATCCTGTAGAGACTCAGGGCCCTGAGTCTCTCCAGTGTTGCCCCTTTCAGATTGTCCATCTTGCTTTTGTGGTGCTGGGGTAGAACCAGGCTTGACCTTTTAAGTGAGTTCATCTGCATTTGTCCTTCCACACCCTGCTCACTGATTTGAGAAGTGACCTGCCTTCTGTAAACAGACTGAGTGGTGCTTGCTCCTGTCCTGTGCTGTATGAGTTGCTTTGGAGCTCCTTCCATGTGTGAGCTGAACTTTGGTACCCAATGGTCATAGATTGATCTTGGATCTTCTGGAAACAGCATGGAGTGAAATAATAACAATTCTGCCGTAAATAGTGCTTTAGTTGACTTTGCTGTATCCTGAAAGCAGTGTGGTGTTCTTCCCATGGAGCTGACTAATTGTGTGGTTTGACAGTCTCAGCCTCCTAGAAATGTATGTGATAAGACATATCAGAAGCACTGCACCTACTGTATGCATCTCCCAGATCATACGATACAAGTGTATGGTAGTGAAGGAGACTGAGAGTTACACAGGGGCTGTGTACTCTAGCTGTTCTGTGTGGCTGTATGTTTGTGTGTATGGTGGTTGCAGAAGTGTGTGTACCCTGGAGCACAGAGGTCAGAGAACAACTCTGGAGTTAGTTCTCCATCCACCATGGGTCACCCTCTTCAGTGTTCTTACATTTATCGGATTATATGCCAGTTTGAGGCTAAGAATACAGTTCCTAAAGCAGGGTGAGGCAGAAGGATGTCCAGTTCAAGGCCAACCAAGGTAAATAGTGAAACCTGTCTCAAAAGCTCCAGGACTGGGAGTGCACCTCAGTAAGAGTGTCTGCCAGTGTGCAGGAGACACCGGGTACAATCCTCAGCACTACCAAAGATGAATGACTGGAAATAGGAAGGGACAGTGCTCATGATAGTCTGTTTTTCTTTGGTATTGAGAAACAAAGAAATTATCTAGAGATGAGGTACCCTTGGTGGTTATGACATCTGTAAAATGTTAAAATTTTATTAGCTTATATATGCATGTGTGTATGAGTAAATTTTTATGCCACACAGCATGCATGTGGAGGCCAGAGGACAACTTATAGGAGTCGGTTCTCTTTCCACGGTGTGGGTCCTGAACATGGAACTCAGGTCATCAGGCTTCGCAGCTGCCTTTGATTGTACCCTTTGAGGCTTGGAATATCACTGAAATAAAAATGACCTTGATGAAAACACTTCGAGTGTGATATAATCTTTATATTTTTAAGAATTACTTTATGTGTGTGTTAGAGGGTGTGTATCTGGAGCTGGAGTTACAGGCAGTTGTGAGCCATCTGACAGGGATTCTGGGAACAAAATTCAGGTTCACTGGAGAGCAGAAGGCATTTTCACTGATGATCCATCTTTCCAGCCTCCTAATTCACTCTTTAAATTACATGTAGAGCTCATCTTTTTCCTTAATGCAACATAAACATGCAAGTTTTAGGAAATCAGCTAAAAATCTCACTTTAGTCAGATCTAGGTCAAGTCTTCATACCATAGCAGACTCAGCTAAGCCTTCTCTCATGGAGGAGAGACACCTGCCCTACTTACACTCAGCCTTCTTTATGTCCCAATACAGGGTGCTGTGGTGAGGTTGGGGTGGAGACATTGGGTCTGGAATCTGATGCAAACCTGCTGAACTTGAATGCAGACACTCCTTCATTTTCGTACCACATAAAGGCAAGATTACTAGTCAGCACCACACCTGTGGGAAGCTCTGGACCGCCCTTTCCTGTTCCTACTTCCTTTAAGGGAAATGCAAGGGTAGTGCCAATAAATAGCCTTTTGCTAGTCATTTCTGGAAAAAAAAAAAAAAGAAGAAGAAGAAAATCACACTTTGAAAATCCAAGGACACACCTGTTTTAAAACCTACAACATAGGGCCGGAGAGACGACTCATTGGTTAAGAGCACTGGCTGCTCTTCTGTAGTATCCAGGTTCAATTCCCAGCAACCACATGGTAGCTGACACCTGTAGGTAGCTCAAGGTCTGGGAGATTGATTCCCTCACACGGGGTCAAACACCAGTGCACATTAAAAATAACAAAACAAAAAACAACCCTACAGCCAGGCGTTGGTGGAACATGACTTTAATCTCAGCACTCTGGAGGCGGAGGCAGGAAGATCTCGGAAGTTGAGGCTAGGTTGGTCTATACAGTGAGTTACAGGACAGGCTCCAAAGCTACAGAGAGAAACCCTGTCTCAAAAAAGCAAAAACAACAAACAACAACAAAAACCCTATAACATAGATTTACACTGAGGTAAAAATACAATGGTGAGCTTGCAAGTATGTGATCCTTTATTACGTGTGTGCAGTTATACTGGTATTTCTCCTGCAAAAATAAGAAAATGATGGGCTTGCCTAGCATTCCTGAAGCCCTGGGTTTGATCTCCAGCACTGTTCTATTGCTGTGAAGAGATGCCATGACCAAGACAACTTACAGAGGCAAGCATTTAATTGGGAACCTCTTACAGTTTTAGAGGGTTTTAAAGAAGGTCCATTATTGTTGCAGGGGATGGGTGGGGCCGGTGCTGGTGTGGGCTTTTGAAACTTCAGAGTTTACCTGCAATGACACTTCCTCCAACAAGGACACACCTCTCTTAGCAACTGGGTGGGAGTGGGGGTATTTCACAGTTCTATATCATCAAAAACACTGAAGGCAGGAACTCATGTACAAGCCTAGAAGCAGGAGGTGACACAGAGGCCATGGAGGGTGCTGCTTACTTGTTCAGCCTGCTTTCTTACAGGACCCTCCCTCATCAATCACTATTTAAGAAAATGCTCCACAGGCTTGCTTACAGGAGGCATTTTCTCAATTGAGCTTCCCTCCTCTCTGATGATTCTAGCTTGTTGTCGAGTTAACATAAAAGTAGCTGGTATAGCTCCTGATCTTTCCAAACAGCTCCACTAACTGGGGACCAAGCATTTAAATACACGAACCTAGGGGGGACCATTCTCATTCAACCACATACAGAAGTGACGTCGGTCATCCTAGCATTCAGGGAGTTGAGGCAGGAATCGAGAACTCAAGGTCATATTTGATTAAGTTTGAAGTAGAATGGGCTACATACAACCTGTCTGATGAGGAGAAAACAAAACTGCTTACAGTGTCTCGTGTATCTTTATAATCTCAATCTTTGCTGTTTTCTGTTCACGTTTTTTGTTTTTTTTTTTTTTCTTTTTTCCTTTTTTCCTTCACAGAACCTAGAAAAGTACATAGCAAACAGGAATGGGCATAAATATGGTGAGATTATATTGCCAGCTTGCCAGTGGCAACATTGAGGTTTTGACTGTCCATGTGGTGCTTCCTGGGTGGTCTTTCCTGGATCGGGATGTGACTCTGCTTCTTTTTCTAGGTACCTGGTAACCCATCTCATGGGGGCAGACCTGAACAACATCGTAAAGTGTCAGAAACTTACTGATGACCACGTTCAGTTCCTTATCTACCAGATCCTCAGAGGCCTGAAGGTACAGGCAGTAGCAGTGTTTGTCATGTCTAGTAAGGACTTAGGACAGACTGCTTTCTTTAGAAAAACTTAAGAGGAGTTACAGAATTAACAGAATTAACCAATCCTGCTGCTCTTTTATTTCCCAGGCCAAAGCTGACCATAAAGCAAGTCCTAAGTGTTATGTCATCCATTCCTTTGATCCTTTGGTCTGAATATCTGAGAGACAGGAACTGTTAGCTGTATTGAAAAGTTAGTAGCTTCTTGATACACCCTGGTATCCGCCTTGCCTTGTGTGATATTGAGACTTTATTGTTCCTCAAGCCTGGGCTGGCCTCTATTCCTTCTCAGGATTTGAGAGGTAGAAGGAGGACAACATAGAGAGCACCGGACTGTTCAGTGTTGTGTAGTGAGATCTTTGGGGGAGGGGGCTCTTTGGGGAAGCTAATCTGTCATTGTGGGAGGGGCTGGTAAGCTGCTTTTTTAGAATTAAACCACCTTTGATACTAGCACATCACAACTCTTAACGGAGGTCATCATCAAGAAAGAGAGAAGGGGGACAACTCCAGTAGGTGGAGTGTAAGGAACTGAGCAGTGGCAACCCACTGTGAACACCACCACCACTTACTGGCTGAGGGGGCCACTGCAGACCTGCTATGATGTTTGTGACATGAAAAAGCTGGAGATGGTTTTCATTCAACTGACTTTCTTTTCTTTTGCAGTATATACATTCAGCTGACATAATTCACAGGGTATGTATTGTGTCTTAGATGATGATTATTTTGATGGTGTAGGTGGGGCTAGAAGAGTGACATCTAGCTGAGATCTCAACCTTAAGTTTAACTGTTGAAATAGTGATTGACTGCAACTTTGCTCTCAGTGTAGACTGGTAAAGGGACACTTAACCTTTGTAACTGCTTAAGGCTGATTTGGTTCAGACATTGACTGTAGCTTGGAAGTCTGCTTGTCTCTTGTGAGGTCTCCATGTGTCTGCATTCTCTGCACCTGTGGGTAGGGGACTTATTGTGCATCATCTGGTTGATACTATTCTCTCTGCTTGCTTCCTAGGACCTAAAACCTAGTAACCTAGCTGTGAACGAAGACTGTGAGCTGAAGGTAAGAAAGAAAATCCCTGAGTGTTCCTTAGCTGACCAGCCAGCCAGCCTTGGAGAAAATGATTTATAAGCCATTACTTTGAATCTCTGGAACTTTGAGCTGTAGGCTTAGCAAGCTATTTCAAGGAACTTGGAAGTAGATTTTGGTAACACAAGCCTTTAATCCCAGCACACAGGAGACAGAGGCAGGCAGATTTCTGAGTTCAGACCAGCCTGGTCTACAAATTGAGTTCCAAGACAGCCTGGACTACACATAGGAGCCCTGTCTAGGGGGAGGAGTATATAATCTGAATGTCAATTAAGCATTCCTGGAAAACACATTACTAGATAGTTTCTAAAAAGGAAAATGGCAGAAACTCAGAATGATTCAAGTAAGACAGAAGTGAATTAGCTATCTATAAAAAGTACATAGTATTATGGTTTTTTTTTTTTTTTTAATGAATTTTTGGAAAAATAACAGAGGGCTGGAGAGATGGCTGGTTTTCCAGCCCCCATGTGGTGCTCATGACCATCCAAATCCAGATGGTCTGATGCTTACTTTGTCTGTGGCAATGCATGCACTTGGAGCACAGACATTCGTGCAGGCAAAACACTTGTGCATAAAATTTAAAAATGAAAAGATACAATGAAAACCTTTTCTAGGGTTCTAATGTCCATGTAACTACTGTTATATAATCTCCATAAATTCCAAAGTTCTGAGTGTCCCCTCCTAGTAACCCTCACCCCCTCAGCCTTAACCCTGATTTCTGACTCTGAATTATTCCTTTTTTTTTTTTTTTTTTTTTTTTTAAAGATTTGTTTATTTCTTAGGTGTACCTATATACCTACAAGAGAGCATCAGATCCCACTATGGATGGTTGTGAGCCACCATGTGGGTGCTGGGAATTGAACTCAGGACCTCTGGAAGATCAGACAGTGCTCTTAACCTTTGAGCCATCTCTCCAGCCCCTGAATTATTCTTTTGTAGTGTTTCATATAAATGGAATCACACACATTACTGTGTTACAAGTATAACGTCCTCTACCTGCACTGTGTGTTTCAGTACTGTCCCATCTCACAAGCACACTTAAACTTGTAGCCTGCCTTCCTGTTGATGGGCACTTGACACTATTCTGGTTTTTGATACACGCTATTGTGAATATCCTTGTGCAGACCTTTGTGTAGGCATATGTTTTTGTTGTTCTTGAGTAAATTCCCAGCAGGGGAGTGTGCTTTGCTGGCAGCTTTAAAGTCCTTAGAGTGTGTTTGCCATGCATTTTAAGTCAGGACAACAAGGCCCACTTAATGAGAGTAACACTTTTTTCTGTCGTCAGGTGGCAGAGCTTGCCTGCTCCTGTGCCTGACTTCTGCTCTCGCCCTTAGATTCTGGATTTCGGACTTGCTCGGCACACTGATGACGAAATGACAGGCTATGTGGCTACCAGGTGGTACAGAGCTCCTGAGATCATGCTGAACTGGATGCACTACAACCAGACAGGTGATGCTCCAGCCAACTGCCCAGACCTGGCCCAGATGAGGGAGGGATGCTGCTAACATGGTTTTCAGATGACTCAGGGTTAGGTCTTTACCAGAGGAGAGTGGGTTGACACCTCAGCACTCCCAGGAGATCCACTATTCACCAGTAAGAAAGGTTTGCCCTTTTGTAAGATGTTTTGTTTCATTTGACTTAATTATATTCTGACTTACATGACCTGTGGAGCCCTTTATTGGGTGACAGTTTTAATAAGGTCATTTATTTCTATAAAAAATGATGGCTGAACATCAGGTGTCTTAAATGTTGATTTCTATCTTTTACTCCCGGTTTGAGCCCAGTTAATGGTCATGAATATGATAGAAACCATGTCTATGCTTGTATTCTCCTTATTATTCCAGTGGATATTTGGTCCGTGGGCTGCATCATGGCTGAGCTGTTGACCGGAAGAACGCTGTTTCCTGGTACAGACCGTATCCTTTAACATGTTTTGGCTTGCTTCCTCATCTGTGCTGTGCTGTCATAGATGTGTGTTTCCCTTCCTTGTGTGTGGGGAAGACTCAGTCCCAGGTGTTGTTTGGAGGGCTGTCCTCTTGTTGAGTAGCTCTCCTTGACCAGCAAACAAGCTTAAAACACACCTGTTGTCTTTTTGCAGCAAGTCCTTATTAACGAGTTTAGTCTACTGCAGACACTTAGCAAGCGTGCACAGCCACCTGTACCTCAAAGGTATCTTGTTCTCATTTGCTTATTTACGAAAAAAGCTGTGGGCCCCTGTACTGACACACCTGCTGGCTCCTGTCCTATTTGTTGCTTAACAATACACAGTAGAAGCAAGAGGAGAGAGGCCCCTGTTGTGTGCTTTTGTTTTCCACACATCGTCATCCCTGGTTACCAGCCCCACTTCAGTCTCACTCGGTTGTGAGCACCAACACCCTTTCTATCTCTTCTGGTCATGTGCTCCATGGTTTGTGGGAACTCCCATCAGCTCTGCTGGGGGAAAATATTTGGATGAGAATGTTAAAGCAGCTGCTTAAAATTAATTAGTCTTCGGGAGGGGTTTTTACAAAACTGCAAAAGGTTCTGGTTGGGCTCTTAGAAGCGCCACAGCAATGCATGCTTCATCATCTAACTGCAGGGTTAGCTCTTGCTTGACACACCTGAGTCTGTAGGCTCACTACCTGACAATGTGAGCTGCCTTTCTCCGGGGACTGTTTTCTGCTAGACAGTGTCTTTTGTGAAGTGGAACCTCTGCTCCTCAGGCGATGCTATCTGCTCCCCTGCGTGCTACTGGACCCGAGTCCAGTCAATTTCCGCTCAGGTACTTCAGCACCCTTCCCTTCCCTTGGGATTTTGGTTTCTGTGTGTTACAGCCCAAGCTAAGAGGATTAAGAGGCCAGTGACTCCCTCATGCTGCCCCCTGAGACTACCTATCCCGAAACTGCTCTCTGTTCTCTTCTTTCCTTGTGACGTCTCTCCAGCTCCCCTTTGGCTAGTCCCAGACACACATACTCTCATAGACAGACAGCAACATCTGTAGGGAAATTTAGTTCCTCACTTTTGTAGTCCAGGTATTCACAGGTTAAGGGCACAGTCCCTAGAATTTAAATTTTAGCTCTTTTACTTTGAATTATGGGCTTTGAGCAAGTTTTCCAACCTTGGTGTTTCTCAGTTTCCTTAACATAAGATGACATTAGTGTACAGCCCAGAAGGTGATTGTGAGAATTCAGAGATCAGAGCCACCAGGCAGTGCTAGCAGCATCTTCATCCGTGGTTGTCTCAGCCACTTGTCATGGCCACAGATACCTGAGAGAAAGAATTTAAAGGAAGAAAGATTTATTTTGGCTTATGGGCGCAGAAGTCTCAGTCCATGGTGAGGCAGAGCATCAAGGTAGCTGGAGCCTATGTAGAGAAGTCTGCTCACTTCATGGGGGCCAAGGAGCAGGAGCCAGAGTGGGGTGGGGAGGTGGAAGAGGAAAAAAGCCAGGGACAGAGCATCCTCTAGGACACATTCCCAATGACCTGCTTCCTCCCACCAGATCCCACCTCTTAATGTTTCCTACACCAAAATAGCACTACCAGCTAGAGAACAGACCTTCAGCAGGAGGCATTTAGGATCCATACTGTGGATATATTATCCCTAGCCTGTGAAGGCTATGTTCATTTTATAGTGCAAAATGCATTCTGGCTGCATCCAAGAGTCCAGATCCTCTTGAGTCTCAGAGACTGAAGGCAAACTCTGAGCTGCTAGCCCCTGTTAAAAACAGATTACATACTTCCAGTATTCAGTGGTATAAACATCCTCATCCAAAGGTAAGGAAGGACCAGACGACCAAAGCAACATGAAACACAGCATTGAAATTCCATAGTTTCAAGCCCATCATTGGGAGGCTAGGGTGGGGTTCCCTAGAGCTTGGGCAGCCTAGCTCCTGTGACCTTGCTGCATGTACCCATGTGGCCTCTCTTGGCTCACTGCAACTCTGTCACAGTCCATATTCTGGGTACTCATATTTCTGGAGACTCTTGCATCATCAGCTTCATTCTGACAGCTTCATGAACCATGCTCTCAGGCCAGTCACAGGGAATCCAGCCCTGCTATGCATGGCCAAGCTTTCCAGGCTTCCCTTGGAAATCCAGTGGACACCTCTGTCCCCCCTGTAATTCTCGGGTTCTGCATGCCTCAAAAACCAGCATCATATCAGTAACACCAGGGTCTATGGCCAACTTATACAGTAGCACCTGATGGAATCCTGGGAAGGCAATTCCTCGGCAAGCCTTAGTTTAGTGGGCAAGGGTTCTGGAGTACTCTTTTCTAGGGGTATTTTGGGTAAGTTTACATTTGCACCCTGGACCTGCAGTGGTTAGGGGTCTCTCCAAGGGTCTCTGGTGATTTTCCTATCCTCTCTGTAAGGAGTTTGTTTAGTTTGGTTTGAGCCAGTCTTACTTTGTAGCCCATGCTGACCTAGAACTCACTGTGGCCTCAACCTCATAGTGCTCCTCTTGCCTTGGTCTCCTAAATACCAGGTGACTCTGCCTGGGATTCAGGGCCGCCCAACCCCTTTCCTTTGGGCTCCCACCGCCCTGAGCCTCCAGTGATAGACCTGGAACTATGGTTTTTGTGCTGTGCTGGGCCTGGAACCTAGAGCTCTGTGCATGCTAGAGAAGCGCTTCACCAGCTGAGTCACATCTGTAGCCCAGGCTGCTCTTGAATAAAACTAGGAGTTAGCTTATCTGAGTTTAGTATAACTGGGTGAACTGAGTTAGTTTAACAGACTGCTTCCATTTTTCTTAAGATCTTGATGAGTCAGGAGGCTCTCTTCACTGTCTTGTTGTGATTTCTAGAACTCTGTACAAAGCCTCTGGATCATGCTGACTCCACAGCAGCCAGCCTGGAAGGCCTGAGGCCATAGCCGTGTGGTTTGTAAGCAGCTCCCTGATGAGACAGTGCAGGCAGCCTCTCTACTGGGGTTCAGTTTCCTCTATATGTATGCGTTTGCCTCTCTTTTAGTTATTGTGCCTTGGAACTGGTGGTCTTAATTAACTTCTAGCTGACAAGTGCCCAGTGGGACTTTTTGAGGCATTGTGGATGTATTATGTGTGTTTTGTTCTATATATATGATTCATAGTCATGAGCCTGTGATAACTGACTAGATTTTTGTGAGAAATTGTAATGTAATGTAAAACTCACTGCTGTAACTCTATTGTGATAAAAATTAACAAAATTAACCAACAATTTTAAACTTTATAACTTAACAGTTTTAATTGCATTCATGATGCTTGACAGTCATTGCCACTAACTACTGTGCTTCCATCTGGCTTAATAAGAGTGTTAATAATAGTAAGTGTGTAAAGAATAAGCCCACCTCTAAAAACCTGACTGACTGTATGTACCACGTGTTTTCAGCTGATAGAACTTAATAGCGAAAGTGGAAGACTACAGACTCTCTCCAGGTGGAACCCTAACTTTTTCCAGATGCCACCAGTTTTGAAATGTGTGAGTCAGTATTGGAATCACTGACACCCAGTACTTCAGCTTAAGAACAGTGAATTGTGCAGCCTTTTCCTTATGTGTATCTAGTATAGATGATATATTTTTTTCTACCAGTGATTACGGTTTTGGCTTATATCTTAGTTTAAGCTTTTATTGCTATGAAGAGACACCATGACTATGACAACTCTTACGAAGGAAAACATTTAATTAGTGCTGGCTTATAGTTTCAGAGGTTCAGTCCATTATCATCATGGTGGGATATGGCAGCATGCAAGCAGACATGGTGCTGGGAGAAGGATCTGAGAGTCCTACATCTTGACCCATAGGCAACAGGAAGTGAACTGTGTCTTACTGGGCTTAGCTTGAGCATAGGAGACCTCAGAGCCCAATCCTACAATGACATACTTCCTTCAACAAGGTCACACCTACTCCAATAAAGCCACACCTCCTTATAATGTCATTCCCTATGGGGGGCAATTTTTTTTTTTTTCAAAACCACTACAGCTTGTTATTTTCCTTTTCTATGTAGTTGGGTAAATTACCTTCATGCATAAAAGCCCCTGCCCCCATTATAATGGACATGTACTTTTAAGATGTGAACTGTGGTCTAGAGAGATGGCTCAATAGTTAGCAGCTTTGACTGCTCTTCCAAAGGGCCCATGCTCACATCCCAGCACAGTGGTTCATAATCATCCTTAACTCCAGTCTCAGTGATCCAGTGTCTTTTGGTCTCAGAGTACACATGGTACAGATATGGCCACAGGCAAAATGCTCATGCACATTTTAAAAAAGATATGAACAAGAAGGTGCTCAGGCTGCTGGGTTACACTCACATGCCTCTTTTGCTGCTGTGACCCTATATATGTCCTTCATGTATTAAGTCAGTCTCAATGCAATGTTAGTCCCTTCTTCTTTCCCAAATGTGTTATGGAACATTGCAGACATACGAGACAATAGTCTCACAAACCCCATGTCTACACTACCCAGATGGTGGAATGTGGGTGGTAAACAAACCCACTTATCTGTCCATTGCTCTCCATTGTTGGTTTCCTATGTTGTCTTTTTTTGTTATATGTGCTAGGCAGATACTGAACTCTGAGCTGCATCTCTAGAACTCTACTGCCAATACTGAAAGCAACCACCCAGCCAGCGCTCAGGAGGCAGGGGCAGGTGGATCTCTGAGTTTCAGGACAGCCAGGGCTACACAGAGAAACCCTGTCTCAAAAAATCAAAAAAACAACAAAAAAAAAAAAAGAAGAAGAAGAAGAAGAAGAAAAGAAAGAAAGAGGGGGAAAAAAAGGAAAAAGAAAGAAGAAAAAAGCATATTATAGCAAGTTTCTGGGTCAGCCAGTGTTTGGCTGGCTGGCTGGCTGCAGGAGGCCAGGTGCTGAGGCCGTGATGCTATCCAGCCCTCAAAACCAGCACAGCACGATCAGACTGAGCCCACAAAGAGTGATGGGAGTGACTTGGACAGAAGACTTCCTT